TACAAACTCCAAATCATATCAAATTAATTTATATTAAAATAAAGTTAACTAATGAGAACTGAATTTATTTATTTATGATAATATTCATTTTTTCCTTTTTGAAAGTTTCATCAAATTTTTCTTCTCCTTAACTGGTCTCTTCTTCTTCTTTTTCATTTGAGAAACTTTAATTTTTTCTCTTAGGAATTCTGTTATTCCACTTCAATTTTCTCAGATTAAAGCGTTCCCTCAAGCGCCTAGGTCCGAGAACTGAATATTATATGATTTATTGAATTATGAATTTGAGAAGTTGCATGAATCAAATAATTAGTACTATCATAAATTTGATGTCATATTCTTATTGAAATGAAATATATATGCTACTAACATCATATATAAATAATTCTCTCATTTCTATAATTATGTTGTATAAAACAGCTAATTCTTAATGTTATATTCTATTTCTTTATAAATAGCGAATTCTATTAAATACTTATATTTATAAATAAATTCATTTACAAAATACTAATCTAAAACCTATGTATATTGAATCTATTGGTTTTGTGAATAGGTTTTTCCTAAATATATAAAATTGAACAATTATTATTTCTTAACTGATATATTTCAATAATCAATTTATTTTCAATGATTCAATTTTGAGATAAGTCAATCTAATAAAACTTATTTATTGTTCAAGCGTTGTGTAAAAATTCATATTGATTCATCTAATAGGTATAAATTAAAACAGCAATTTTATAAACCAAAATGAATTATTTTTTAAATAATGATTGAATCACTTCGATGATCAAATTTGATTTTGTATTTATTATCTATAAAACATTTTATTATTAAGATTGAGCTCTTTATATTTTTTGAATTTGAAGGTATTACTAACGAAATACATATTTGTGTTTCTTATTTTTGAAAAAGAGCAACAAAATTTTAGTTCATCATGATTTGTATTTAAATTTCCAAAACTCTTTATTTAGGAACGATTTATTAAAATAAGAAACAATCGATGCAATAGATTTTTCATTAGTAATTTCAGAAATTTAATTAAAAATTAATTTACAGGCATACATATTTCTATTGGATTCAGTTATGAGGTATAAAGAGGCAATAATATTGTAATAACTACTTTTACAAGTTTTTGTGCCTTTTTACTTTTGTGGATAGGACTATTGTCCAATATCAGAAAAAATTTCTTCTGAATATTTATGCTAAAGCACTTTAATCAGCTCCACATGTATAGATTAATTTACACAGCCTTCAATCACTTAATGTTCTAAAAATCATCAGTTCTAATTGCCCCAATAATGCAGAAATTTACTTAATTTGTTCTATGATTTAAGATATTTGAAATACAAAGGTAATTATTCAACAGCGGTATCAATAAACTATTGAATATTAATATTTTGTTATAGTAACTACCTTATGTATCCTCTCTAATCCGTTTTATACGGCAATCTGTTAATCAAACTTAGAACTATCCTAAGCAAATTGAAAGTTCAGATAATTTAAAATGCTATAAAAATCTTTGATTTGAAATTTCATTAGCCTACAATTTTACAAGCGGGACCAATTTGATTGTTATCTTTATTGATTATAAATGGATTTTATTCAAGTAAAAATGGTTTGATTAATCTTATTTCATTTTTTTTTTAATTAAGAATTAAATACTTAAATAGCTTTTATGTTAGAATCTTAGAATCTTTGTAAAG